TTCCAGGATTGATCTCTGGGAAATAAGGCGCATTAGAGCGCGAGGGGACGTTATTTATGTTGCAATTATATCATCAAAGGGGAAATTATGTTCACAAGCATCGAGTTGGAGCACAAACACACACACACACACACACACACACACACACACACACACACACCACACACACACACACCACACACCACACACACACACACACACACTTTTCCAGTCAGTTTTACCCAATGAGGCTCCAGACATTGGCCAGGTTTTTCATGAGGTGACTGAATAGGTCCAAATTGATGCGTGACTTAAGCTGCTTGTTTAGATCAGGCATTCTTTCTCTAACGATGATGTGGCTTCTAGAACTTCTAAACGGCGTTGTTTGGACATGATTTCAGAATCCGTGTGGGTTTAGTTAGGTCAGTTAGGTCAGAGCGTAGGAGTTTTTGATTGTGGGTTTCCCGCACGGAGACTGCTGTCTCCACAGCTCAAAATGTTGGAATGACGACATATTTTCTATGGCATTTCTGCCGTCTATGACGCATGACATGCACTTGCAGGAGCGACGCCAGGCCAGCCATTAGACCAACACACGCGCAAACCCCACACACACGCCGTGACATCATTAGTTATCACCACCCCACAATCAGCATCACGTGTATGTTCATGGCCTTACGTCAATGCATTCTTTTCCACCGAATCAGCGAGTAAAGCCGAATGACAACTATCGAGATTCATGCCGATGTGCTATTTTCGTTGTCTCTCTTGTCTCAAACACGCGAGCCGCGCATGGCGTGCCATTAGCCAGCTGTAATTCGTCAGGTGGCGTGAGCTGCATGCCGCTGTTGCATCGGAGGAGTGAAATTCACTTCTGTGTGCCATTGGCATGACCTACTAAAGCACCGGTCCAAGCGCCTGGCAGAAGAAGTAAAAGTAGGCTAACGTGTCTGATCCCTCTTTGGCAGGAGATTTTCGTTCTATATTTCACGTAGTTCGCATGCAAAAGTTGGTGGCTGTGCTTCAATCCAAGGAATCCCGCATGCATCCTTATTGAGCTGTGGGTTTTGTGACGGGTTGTTAGAGTGGTATGGCTTTCCGTTCTAAACATTCCTACCCAGCACTACAGTTCGATGAACAGCGTGTTCAATAAAAGGCAGATAACCACACGACTGTCATGTGCCAAAACCACCAGCCGCCACTCCCATCACAGCAACGGCGAAGGGACTCAGTCATCGAGAGCACGACCCGCGGCGTGTCGCGGCCAGCCGGACCCGGGGCCGGCCTCCGTCGGCTATTTCGGCCGGCGTTCGTGGAACGTGCTGTTGTGTTCACCGACACCCGCTGCGGCGCCGTGACGGGTCGGCCGTTAGGCTCGGTCGGTCGCTTCTCGGGAGGAACATGATGTGGTGCCGACATAGGGCGACAGGGGCGGCGGCAAACAGGGGCCGGCCCAGGACAACGCGGTCCCAGCGTGGCCGGGCCGTCTGAGCAGTCATCCGCTTACCACGCTGGATGTGATGCCGAGATAGGGCTAAGCAACCAGGTGTCAAAGCGGAAAGGGGCTCGTTCGAGTCAAGGGGAGGGGAGGGTGTTGCACAGTTTGGTTATTGTTCAAGTCGGCACATATGCGTCATTGTAAAGATTTCTTCCGCGTGTTTGTGGCTCAGCCCCCTTCATCTGCCCGCTCCCCCCCTCCACCCCTCAGGTTCAGGCACTAGCTACTACTGGGCCACAGGTATATGTTCAACTAGTGAATCCAGTTACGTGACGCAGTCATCGAAATGAATTATACGAGTCGCAAGCAAAGTAGTTACGTGTGGCGCAAAGCTGTTCTACCGCTGAAGTTAAACTCATTGTGAACATAGAAACAGAACGATTTTATTTTGTTAATAACAGGTGACAATGTTGCCAAAATAAAATTTTAACTTTACCGTATGCGATTAAACATCTTGAGGCGGTTCAATATGTCATAACAGCACACAGACAGATGCTACAATACCAGCAGAAGATGAAACCCGAGATTGCGATCCCCACCCTGCGACCACTCCCGGGAATGTAAAAAAGCTGACTGAATCTGCATCGCATGTCAAATATGTCTTAATGTACTCAGATAACATCGATCCTACTCCCAACGCCGATATTGATCCACTAAGTGCACTAAAATTTACCGTTGAATAGCGTTTTGCAACATGAGGCCGCAAAAATGTGTATTTAAATGAACAGGCTGTATAAAGCATGACATGCCCGGGATAAGATACGCGATGCTGGTGATGCCACCAACAGTTGGTATGCTGCATTATATTTTATGGAAACAGCTGGCACGGTTATCAGACAGCGTAACACTGAGGCTATTCTGAATATTTTTCTCGAACGTAAATGGGTTGCGTAAACGAATATTTGCATGAGAGGCAGTGTAATGTTGACGTATTTGGAATTGTAAACGATTTTCATTTCACCAACTCCGTAAGTTGTAAGGACATCTGTGAGTATCATTATTTTACCAGCAACAGCCCGGTTTTCTTGCGATGAATGAGGTTATTGCTGCTTGTCTTAGCTTTCGCCAACTGGTCCCGCTTCAGGAGAATCTATGCCAGCGTTTAGAAGCCGGTGCACCAGTGGCACTTGTCCATGGCGCCGCCACGGTGATACCGTTCTGCTAGCTTGTTGTACTGAGGAACAGGTCAAAGCCTTCCTGTACAAACGGGAATTTTACCGATCTGTTGGCCAGTTGGCAGGGGTTAAAAAGCTGCGTGCAAAGATTGCACTCCCTTCACGGGTCTGTATTATGACCATGAAGCCTCGAACACTTTTTCAGTATGCCGCGTCTCTTTAAGTCATTCCGGGCATAAATTAAAAGAGATATGTACACACCATTATACAATATGACGCGCTCCATGCTGAAACCGCGTTTGAGACCTAAGTGTCACCTGCGGGTGGGGCTCAGTTCGCGGGCGGGGGCTCAGTTTGCGGGGCGGATGAAGTGAGGGTAGACCTAACCTAATTTTGGCTAAACCATTTCGCAGAAAAGATTATATTACTCTATGCTCATGAAGAAAAACAAGCCATGGTGGCTGGTTCCCGGCAGGAACACATCATCATATCACGATACTATCATATATCATATCGCATATCATCATCCCATTGCCATCTACTTCCGGACGCGAATACCTGCACGTCGCATACTGTGCTGTGCTGCATTCCCTTACGGCGTGCCGCCCTTCGGCGGGCGCTCCCTCATCGATAATGACCTTCGGCAGGGTCGCGACTTGATGTGTTTGGCCAGTATGGATAACCATTTTTCGCAGTTAACAGTGCAGTGATGTGAAACGACATTCCAATGGCCGTCATTTGTCCGGTCTTTTCTCTCCTTACTCTTGCTTTGTTGTTTGAGATAGATCAATCAAATGGTTTATTCCTGCTTCTACGTGAGGCCTCAAAAGCTTACA